ACCCACAGTGTACCCTCCAGCTTCCCAATACACAGGAGGAGTGACTTCACAATACATAGTAGTACCTGGTAAATGTGGGGATTTAAACACTTTAAATAGTTGTCCATGATCCCTGCCTTCCCTGATCAGAGCAGGGAAGAGAGGTTTACTCTGGGTTGAGCTCTGGGGTTGCTCATATTCTTTTAGCTCAGGAGAATGCTTTCTTCCTTCTTTCTCTCTTCCTTCCTTCCTTCCTTCCTTCCTTCCTTCCTTCCTTCCTTCCTTCCTTCCTTCCTTCCTTCCTCTCTTCCTTTTTTCCTTTCTCTTTCTTTTGTTCTTTCATTCTTTCATTCTTACTATAATGTGTGTACATGGCACACACTATAGTAGTTAGAACAACCTGCAGAAGTCAGTTCTCTCCTTCTACCATGTGGATTCTGGGAATCAAACTCAGATCATCAGACTTCATAGCAAGCCCTTTCACCCACTGAGCCATTTAGCTAGTCCCCCTTGATAATTTTCCATTCCTTCCCTCTATTTTTTGGTACAAGGCTCTGTGAGTCTGAGGGCTTTGAAGTAAGTATTCCATCCCCCACACTCAGTCTCTCATTCTTGGACCAGACTGTGGTTTCTAGGAGCCCCCATTCTGAGGCGCTTATGCCAGGTAGAGCAGAGCTGGGCCCTGCTCCAGGGGTTTGCCCTCTGTGATCTCAGATTGTGTGCTGGGCACCGGGCCAGGTGCCCGAGACTCAGAGGCCAGCAATACTCTTTCCTGGTTACCCCTTCCTTCTCCTCTGGAGGGAACCATGCTTTCTGCTGTTTTTGTGTCCTTCATCCTGTCTGCTGAAGGCTGATTTCCTTCCTCCTTGCAGTTACTCTCTCTGGCCTCCCTTCAAGTCCTTTTTCTTTCCTTTCTCATCAGTCTCTTTTGTTTAACTTTTAGAAATATTTTGTTTATTGTTGCTCCTTGTAATCAGGGTATTCTTTGGTTCTTAGTGTGTGGCAGCTTGGTTTCCTTTGAAGGGGGATGTAGGGGAGGACTAAGCATAATATGTGCAGCTCTGTTTATACCCTAAGGAGTACTCAAGGCTTGGAGATGGGCTCCCAGCCCTCCCTAGCCAATGTCTAGGCCTAATGTCTAGGTCGCTGATGAGACTGAGTCTATAGTGCTCTGTGTTGTACTTCTGAAGGGAATTGAGGTGACAAAGTCCTTGGGGTTGGAAAGCATCTCAGTGGTTTCCAGAAACCTTTCTGTGGCCTGGCTGCTGCAGAGGTGCCTGAGTAGGGTCACCCTCTGAGAGAGGTTGAGGGGGACTGAAGAAGGTATCAGATTATGAGTGTTTTCTTCTAGACTGTAGGATCATCAGTGATTTTTATCTTCTCTGTAATTTCTTATGTTTTATACTTTTCTACAATTAATATATATTGCTTTACGATTAAAATATACAATAAATGTTCCTTCTGATCTTCTTTTCTTCTCTCTCTTTTTTTGGCCTTTTCTGAGACGGGTCTCCCTGTAGCCCCAGCTGGCTTGGAACTCACTATGTAAACCAGGCTGGCCTTGAACTCACAGAGATCCACCTGCCTCTGCCTCCCAAGTGCTAGGATTAAAGGCATGAACCACCAGGCCTGGCTTTTTTTTATTTTTTTAAATTTATTTTTATGGCTCTGAGGATTGAACCCAGGGCCTCCATATATGCTAGGCAAATGCTCTACTACTGAGCTGCATTTCCAGCTCTCTTCTGATTAAAAAAAAAAGATTTTTATTATTTAAAATTATGTGTATGTGGGGACTGGAAAGATGGCTTAGCAGTTAAGAGCACTCACTACTCTTGCAGAGAACTCAGGTTTGATTCCCAGCACCCACATGGTGGCTAACAACCATCTGTAACTCCAGTTCCAGGGGACCCAACACCTTCTTCTGACCTCCATGAGCATTACATGACATGGGCACACTTACATACATACAAGTATAACATACATATAAAATAAAATAAATTTTAAAAATTAAAAAAATGAAAAACTTATGTATATGTGTGTATTTCTGAGTGTGGGTATGTGCATGTGAGTACAGGTGGTTGCAGAGGTCAGAGGTGTCAGATTCCCCTGGAGCTGGAGTTATAGGCAATTGTGAGCCACCCAATGTGGATGCTGGGACTGAATTCATGTCCTTTGGAGGAGCAGTATGTGCTCATAAACTCCGAGCCATCTCTCTAGCCTTCCTCTTCTGATTTTTAAACTGTTACTCAGGGACTTATTCAATATATAAATGCCTGGGCCCCCTCCCTGAACATTCTGACATGAGTTTGGAAGCCATAGATCTAATGTAACACCTGTGCTTTTCTTACAAGTCAAGTAACTTTTCATGAACAGGTTAGTGAGAGATGCAGCCCAAAGCCAGGCCCTCTAATTTCTAGACTGAGAATCTAACCTTCTCCCTTACTGCCTTCTTTTTAGCTCATAAGCCTGAAGACTCACAAGCAGAGGTATGGAGCTGGGTTCTGCCTGAAGGCTGGCCTGTGTCACTGACGCCTGTACCCATGCTCTATCCCCTGTCAACCTTCAGCTGTCCTTTCTCAGCACTCACAAGCCCTCAGCTGCTTCTATGTCTCTGACATCACCAAAAGATGGGGGTGAGGTTGTTACCTTGCCTCACTCCCAGGGACCTCAGGGCCCAGGAAGTTACCCAGATAGCAATGATCTCCATTAGTAGGACTTGGGAGAACCAAGTCATACAGAGATGGGATTGGCCTAGAACTTGAATCATAGACTTATGCTCTCCTTCCTTGGCCATCAAGCTGTTTTGAGATGATGTAGTGAAGGGAAGGATGGTGGAGCTGCTCTGGTACAAAGAAAGGTGCTTGGTGGCACTGGATGCACAGTGATCGTAGATAGGTAGGGGCATTGCTCTGGGTTCTCCATCATCTACTAGGTATGTGATAGCTGAGTTATCTCAATCTTTAGCTATCTCAGTTCTAATGGGCATGATTAAAATATACCCATTCATAGGATTTTGAGAGGTGATGCTTGTCATCCTGTAGTATGCCTCGAAACTCTGGAGATCTTATTGAAAGTGCATGTTCTGGCTCAGTGGGTTGGCATTTCTAGTGAGCTCCCAGGTGGTGCTGAGGCTGCTGGCCAGGGACCACACCTTTAGAAGCAAGGATGTAGAGTGCAAAGTGGAACCTGGCACACTCTGTTTATCATTTCCATCATAGATGTTATTGTCACTTGGCCTTTCAGATAGGTACCATAGGTACCAAAGGAGATGCGGAATACCAGCAGACTGGTCTCTCTGGGGACCCGTCTTTTCCTGGGGTCTCCTGTTCCACTCATGACCTTTGCACCTGTCCTAGGCAGCAGCTGAGGACCAGTGGTGGCAGGGGTTGTCCCAGCTGCTGCAGGTCTGAGTCTCAGCTTTGCAGCTGAGTTCATTTTCACGCTGCTTTAACCAGATTTTGTTAAGTTGGGTGTGTTTCCTCTTTTTACTCATCTTTGTTTACAAAACATGAGGAAGCCATCAGTCTCCCCATAGCCTCCTGCCAGGTCTTTCTGTGGCACACCCGACTTCCCTTACCCGCTTGGCAGGCACTATGCCTCCAGTTCACTGCTCCTCCTCCACACTTACCTCCACAGTTGCCATGGACATGGGTGTTCTGTGTCAGCCTCAGTCAACACTACATTTCTCTTTGTAGTTGAGGGTAGTGGGGATGGTACCTACAACCTGCCTAGTTGCCTGCTGGATGGAACCCGAAAGTTCCAGGAGTCCAGGAAACCAGGGCTTATGCTCCATTTGTCTTACTTACTTATTTTAGGAGTGCCTAGGAGTTGCTGGTAGGATGGTTGTGGTTAAAGACTGCTTAAGAGAGGGCTCCCACCCACCCCCTACCCCACCCCTCTGGACACTTCACATAAACTTGCCTGCTGACTGAGCCACTGAAGGAATCCAAGTCCAGCCTATGCTGGCCCCTCTCTGCACACTAGGTTTTTATTTCCCTGTCCACTGAGAACCCTGTGGAGAGGCCCCAGCCCCATACTCCTCCCATGGCATTCAAGGAGAGAACAAAGACTGCCTCTTCCAGCACTCCCTTGTCCCCTGCGGGCCTCTGTTGGCCTCTGGGAAATGCTACCTGGATGGACATGACACCAGCCACAAAAGTGGCAGCCTCTGACCCCTGAACTTTGCCACTAGCTTCCCAGCCTGACCGTAGGACCTGGGATAACCTCCAGAGCATGGTGTGCATTCTTTGTTTTTGTTTTGTTTTTGAGTGTGTTCTTGCTTAACGTTTAATTGGCTCCAGTCAGTAGGAAAGCGCTCCAAGAGGGATTATTTATGGCTTACTGTCAAGAGCAGCTATAAAAAGGGCAGCCCAGAGCTGAGGATGCTGAAGGGGGGAGAGGGCAGGCACACAAGTGTGTGTGTGTGTGTGTGTGTGTGTGTGTGTGTGTGTATGTGTCTCTGTCTGTCTGTATGTGTGTTTGCACTGGATGAAATCAGATTTTTGCTGCCTCAGCAGTGTGGTTTAAATTGAAGATTAACCTTTTGACCTTCACAGTGTCAAATCACTTGCAGATGGAGGCTCCCCACCCCCTTTCCTCCCTTGTTCTCTGTGTTCCTTTGGAGTGGGGGAAAGGGGGGGGGCTTCTTGTCTTTCTCGCTCAAGCAAATTTGTTGTTCATGCATCTGAGGTTTGGGGGGCTCAGGAGCCAATCTGATTAAAAGCAGTACTTGGCTAAACTGGCAAATCCTGTGAGCTGGGGAGAAAGTCTAATATCATGTCCCGTGTCTACCCACTGCATGCACAGTGCATTCACAGCCTGGCCTTTTCTTTTTAATGCCAAAACTGCAGTTGTCTTTGGAGAACACAGGCATCTCTTTCTCATCCTCTCTCCTCCCAGTCTGCTGGATGGCACAGTAGTGCCGGCCTGAGGTCTGGTCATGGGAGCTTGTTTGGGAATCGATAAGGAGCCTGTGGTCTAAGCTGGTGCCTGGCACTTACAGTCATCTCTTTCCCTTACAGTACCAGCAGAACCGAGACCGAGCATGGTGGCAGGTCTTCCTATTCCTGCACAACCTGGCCTTGAACAGAGAAGGAAACAGGGATGGGGCAGGTCCCAGGTGAGGCTGGGCTGCCCTTGTCAAATGGGGCACCAGGAATGCAGTCTGTAACAGAATGGACATCTGGAAGGAGAGACATTGTCTTGTGACATTTTGTTATTATTTTTAAATTTTCTCTCTGTGTGTACATACAACATCCCCTAATAGGACCTTCTTTCCCTGTTCAAGACCTCCACTGAAAATGGGGGCCTTTGTCAAACACTGTTGAAGGAGAGGTGACTGTGTCTGCTGGTGGAGTTCCTAAGCCTCTGACAGGTAGATTCTCTGTCAACAGTTGTGGAAGATGACCAGTCAGTGACGTTCTCTAGGAAGTGGACTAAGGTTTTTCTACAGGAACTCTGCTAAGAAATAAGAGACTGGATTAGACTCCCAGTTCCACCAAACATGTCAGCTTTCCCTCATGCTTGGGGTCCTGATGGAAACACTGCTTTAACCTACCAGGACCTTGGTCAGGGGTTTCTTGGCTAAGGATGGCAGTGCCACAGCCAGTCAGCCAACTTCGCATCTGGGTTCCCACTTGGCACAGCCATGGGCTCAGGGATTCTTGCCCGGACCCTATCACCTCCAGAAGACCTCAGGGAGGGTTGAACTTCTCCAAGGACCCCTCAAAGGTGCCATGAACTGAATCAAGCTTGATAGGCCTCAAGTCTGACTTGGTCCCAGGTGGAAGGCCCTGGATTGATCCTGAGGAGCACACTGCTGCCACCTCTGCTGCCTGGGTGTCAACCGCACATGAGCCAAGTAGCCAGTCACTGTGTTGTACCCAGCAGCCTGTGCCTTTCTCAGCTCTGTTTTCAAAAGACCCCGCCAACTGGACCAGACTGTAATCAACTCCAGCATCCACACTGCATGATGGGGTGGGTGTGCAGGGGGTGGGGTGGGAATAAGGCAGCCGTTCCACTGATAAGTCAGCCCCAGGGGACCCCAGACTTCTTGGTTTCCTTGGAAACGTGTACCTCCTCTTCCTTCTCCTCCGGTCCTTTTTCCACACCTAGTGGGATACAGGAAAGAAGTCTGGACAGTGGCTTTGTCAGCTGAAAAGTGACTTTTGAAGTAATAGGCAGTGATTAAAACTGTAACCATCAGAACTGGTGCACATTTCCTGTCTTCCTTCAGCTGCCTCTGAACTTCCATCTCTTCCCTGCTGCGGCACTAATGGAGGGAACGTAAAGCAGCTGATCTCAGTCACTGGGATCCTCTTAACCCAGACGCTTAGAAATTAAATTATCATTTTTTTGCATTTGTAAGAAAAGACATTGGTGCTAAAGATGAATCAAGACCCAAAGAAAGGATGCCTTCCCTGGGCGAAGAAAACCCCAGAGTTACTCAAGGAATTTAGAGGAGGAGCCCAGAGTCAAATCTGAACAAGCCCAAGATCTTCCATTTCTGCTGAGAAGGGGTCTTCAGTACTGTAGAAGGACAGGTAATCTTCTGGATGTACATGTAGGCAGGTTTTTCACTGCACAAGGGCCCCTAGAGAGGGAGCTAACCGAGGCTGAAGTCCAGCCTGGGCTCTGCTCTCTAGGCTGTGTCCTGATGTAGGGATGTATCTGCTCAAAGTTAGGGGTGCCTTTCCTAATTTGCACAAAGGTACTGTATACACTCTCAGTGGTCCTGAGAATGACTTCAAGGTATGTGTGTAAGCCTTTGTGTTTTTCTGCTCAGATGATAAAGATATTACCTCTTCTTGGTTAGGATCATTTTCTCAGGGTGTGTACCATGGTTTGTCTGCTAAGATGGGTTCCTACTTGCAAAGAGAAGGAACCCAAAGAAAGAATATGAAGACTGGTGTAGGGATATGCTGATCATTGTGAAGCACAGCCTTTGTGTGGGAGGGACATAGGCTGTTTTCTTCTCTCCAGGCTATGACAGGTAGGCTTTTGGTATGTGCTTGAATGTACATGTGTACCCCTTCCCCCGAAAGGATTATGTACACCGGTCACTTTCAACCCCTCTTAGCAGACCTCCCACCTATGCTGAAGCACAGCCATCAGCTTCAGAGACCTTGCCAGGCCCAGGCTGGTGCCCCATGGCCTGTCCTGAGAAGTGACCACAGAGTTTGATCTGAACATTGAGCCTGGGATCAGATGGAAATCGATAAAAAAATCTTTACTTCCTGCCAAGCCAAGAACTATTTTAGGCAAGCCAGGGTAAAATTTAAAACCCCCTCTATCCTCCTCCAATCTGAATCTAGGCTGGGGTTGAAGCTCAATGGTAGAGTGTTTGTCTAGCAGTCCAGAGAGCTTTGGATGGATCCCCAGCACTGCAAAAAGCCACTAGCCTACCCCCAAAGCTTAGGCAGTAGCTAGCAGCTCAGCCCCAGGAGACAGAGGTTCCCCCTGGCTGGCTGCTTTAATTGGCCAATGATCCAGACTGGCCCCTTCCCTGACTGGTGAATTGGCCTTATATTCTCCCAGTCCAGTCCCAGGACAGCCACTTCCCCAATCAGTGCCCCTCTTCCACTCCAGGAGCTGGGCTGTCTCTAATGAGGGGTGGAGATTCAGATTTAGAGGGAGGGAAGAGTCTGACCTGGGTTGTGACCTGTAACCAGCCGAAGGCAGTGGGCTTTGTGGAGTGCTGCTGTTGGGGGTGGAGGGCTGGAAACCTCAGAAATGCCCCTGAGGGACAGAAGCCCCAATATTCAGGGGCCAAACAGCTCTCCTAATTCCCCGCCCCAGGAGGAATTTCTAGAAGCCAGTGAACAGATCTGGAAAGAACATCCCCCAGCCCAGCCACTGACTCCTCCAGTGCAGTTGCCCGGCCCTGCCTCCCTGTTTCAAAGTCTGACTGCTCGGCAGTTGCCTCTGGTGTCCTAGTCTTGCTCAATCTGAGGTGGAAAAAGATCACCTCCCTGTGACCTCCCTCAGCCCCCAGGGAGTGGGCTGTGTCCAGAGCTATGTGGCAGGGCTTGTTTCCAGGGCCAGGAGAGGTCCAGTTGGCTTGCCTTGCTGCCCCAGCCATACAACCCAAGTCGAACCCTGGGCATGGTGGGGAGGGGGTGTTTGGGACCTTCCAGCCGGGGCCCCTATCTACTCTAGGCTTTCCAGGAAATAGGCAGTGAAGCCACTCTGACCGTCCTGATCAGCAAGGAGGACAATACTCTGGAGAGAGGTCTTTTCTGTAGACTGGACAGGGAGCCGGGTATGGAGTGCACAGAGTAGCCAAAGTGGCTCAGGGTGGCCACTGTCCCTAGATGGAGCAAGTTGTGGTTCTGAAGATGACCTCTGGAGGCAGGCCATCCTGGCTGGACAGGGTGACCCCACCAGCCCTCAGAGTTTCCTGAGGTGCCTGTGGACTTCAGGCCTGATGGACAATCTTGAGAAAACAGCAGAACAAGCTGAGTTCTATGCCCAGCCTTGGCAAAGGTGCTCAGGCATGCAGCCCCTGGCCTGCACTGCCCTTCTCTCTACAGGTGTCCAGCGGTTCACCCTGTTCCTGCATCCACAGGGACTTTCGGAGAGACCCAGTGAGATGTAGCATTTTGTTTATCCCCAGCTTGGTTGCCCTGGGGTCTGGGCATTGTGCCTTGGGGAGAAGAAATGGGGAGCATTATTTTTCAACTTGTACAAAGTATCTGGCTTTATGTTCCTTATATGTATACATGTGTATATATTTTCCCCATTAACTGGTACAATTTTTAATAAAACCATTTAAGACAAATTTGTTCTTTTTCTACGGTGTAATAACACAAAAAGGGGAATTACATGCTCCTAACTTGTCTTTTCCCTGCCATCCTGAGTTACCAGGTTCTCATCATACTTCCTTTTCTTTCTTGGATTTGGAAGCAGTCTGGCTGCATAGTGCTGCAGAGGCCCTAGGATTGGAGTGAAGGGGCTTTGGCATGATTGGCCTGGGTTTGGGTCCAGGTTCCAGGTTCTACCTGCTGAGCTGCCTGGACAGTGATAGAACCTCAGCCTTCCATCCCTGAGTACACCCCAGCTCTGCCTGCCTCAAGGCATTAACAAGAATATGACATAGGCCCTGCCACCTCTGGCATCCAGCAGTGACAGCCTCTGGGCCTCCCTTCCCTCCATGTACAACCCATCCCCCAGCAGGCTGAGCCTTGGATTCCTTTTACCACATAGTATCTCAGGCCTGGTTTGGTGACACAGGCTGATAATTCCAGCTACTTGAGAAGCTAAGGCAAGAGTACCACAAGTTCAAGACCAGCCTGGACTAGCTATATAGTGAGTTCAAATCCAGCTTGGGCAACTTACAAAGATATCTCAAAATTTAAAAAGTAAAGAGGACTAGGGATATATGTTGGTGGCAGAACATTTGGCAAGCATGCACAAGGCCTCAGGTTCAATCCCCAGTTCCACAGAAAGGGGGTAGGGTAGAGAGATGACTCAGTAAGTACAAATGCTTGCTGCACAGGTATTGAAGACCTCAGTCTGGACCCTGAGCACCTGTATAAAAGCTGGGCAGATGTGGTGCTCTTGAGAGGCATAGGCAGGCAGATCTCTGTGAATCTGAGGCCAGCCTGGTCTGCATAGAGAGTTCCAGTCAGGGTCTACAGAGTGAGATCCTGTCTAAAAAAATAAAGTGAAGGGGCTGGAGAGATGGTGCAGTGATTAAGAGGGTGTACTGCGCTCTTGAAGAAGATCCACATGAAGTGACTCACAACTGCTGTGACTCCAGCTCCTGCGGGAATCTATGCCTCTGGCCTCTGCAGGCACCTGAACTCATGTGCACATACCTCCATACAGACACATACATATGCATAACTAAAAATAAATCTTAAAAAAAAAAGCTGGGCATGGTGACATATGCCTTTAATTCCAGCACTCAGGAGGCAGAAGCAGGTAGATCTCTATGAGATTGAGACCAACCTGATCTACACATCAAGTTAAAAAAAAACAAAACACCAAACTTGTTTTAGAGAGGGCTATCTTGTCTCACCTCTTTACTTTACAGATGGGTAAACTGAGGTCCACACATGGGTTAGACTTTTCTATGGAGACTTTTTCTTTTTGTCATTTTGAAACAGGGTCTCCATGTAGCCCCAGCTGGCCTGGAACTTTCTATATGGACCAGGCTGGCCTTGAACTCACAGAGGTCTGCCTGCATCTGCCTCCCAAGTGCTGGGATTATAGGCGTGCACCACCATGCCAGGCTTTAGAGGGTTTTTTTGTTTGTTTGTTTCTATGGAGACTTTTTAAATAGCTGAATCAGGCTGGATGTGTGTTGGATGTCTAACCCTATCTGTCTTTGCATTTGGAAATTGCACTGCTAATGCCCAGCTCTTTGAGGAAGCCAAAACTTGTCTATTTTTAATGCCAAATAACTGCCTCTTCTGTAAAACACAACACTTCTAACCACTCTACATTTGGACAAAGAGGTTTATTTTTACTGGAGCATGGTGGAAGTGGGCTTGGTGCCATGTCCAGATGTTATTCTGCATTTCATGTGCTTAGTTGTATCTGAGTCCATTAAGTAGTTCCTATCAGGTACACAGAGAATTGGTACACAGAGAATTGGTAGGTGCCTGGTTATGCTTTTATTTTTTAAAAAAATTCTTTTAAAAAAGCACGCCTGTAGTCCCACCACTTGGGAGGCAGAGGCAGGGGAATCTCTGTGCATTCAAGGCTAGCCTGGTCTACATAGCAAGTTCCAGGCCAGCTGGGGCTACAGGGAGACGCTGTTTCAAAAAGACCAAAAAAAAAAGGTTTTTGTTATTTTTATTTTATGTGCATTTATGAACATTTTTGCCTGTATGTATGTATGTGTACCAGGTCTGTGCCTGGTACTGGTAAAGGCCAGAAGAGGGCGTCAGAGACCTTGGAACTGAAGTTAAGGATTGTGAGCTGCAGGGAATTGAACCTGAGTCCTCTGCAGCACGTGTTCTTTACCACTGAGACATCTTTCCAGCCTTTAAATGATTTTTAAAATTAATTTATTTTTGGCTTTGTTTTATTTTTTAAGACCAGATTTTACAACATAGCCCTGAAAGGCCTCTAACTCATAGTATTTTTCCTGCCTCAGCCTCCTGCATTCTGGGATTATAGCCCTCCACTACCACACCTTTAATATCTTTCTTGCCAGTCATCTTGCCTCTACTTTGGGTAGCAACCTGAGGACTCACCCTTGTCCTTCTCTATCCCCCTTTCTGTATTTGACCCTTGCAGAGGAAGCACAGTGCAAACTTAAGGGCACAGTGGTCCAGTGGGAACGAGGCTCTACTGTTCTCCAGCTGTGTGACATTGGTCAAGTCATGTAATCTTTCTGTGCCTGTTACCCATCTAGAAGGTTGTTATGAATGAAATGTGTAAATCATGTAAGGTGTTTAGAAAAGTACTTGGTACATAGTTTCAATAAATGCTGTTAAAGTATTAGCTTTAATATTATTTGTAAGCAAGGATCAATTAAGTTCTGACTTTTCTTACTGAAGGTATTTCTAGCCTCAATCCCCCCTCCAATGTCTTGCTGCTGCACCCCATGAAGTATGTCCCATAACCTAGGTGACTGCAGAGTCTCACAGCTGGCCTCTGTCAGCCTTGCCCCTCAGGGGTCTTTCTAAAGGCAGCTGCAATCCCAGAACCCCTACCATAAAACTTGCTGTACCAAACCATTCCTTAGCCTTCAGGTAAACCCCTGTTGTAGCATTCTGTATGTGTGTTCCGCATAACAAATTACCCTTAAATTTAGCAGCTTAAAACAACAGGCGTTTATGAGCTCATAGTTCCTGTGAGTCAGGGATTCAAGATCAATAGCCCAAGGTGACAGCATGATGAGTCTGAGACATTTGTATAAAGACAGAGATTCCTGAAGTATCTGTTTAGCTTGTATCAAGTCAGCAGCATGGTTCAACTAAGAAAGAGGGGGTGGTGGTGGAGGGGGGACTCACACAGTGATATATTGGTACACAGTGATACAGTATACCTACCTCTCTTGCCCTCTACTCCCTGTGCAGGTGGTGCCTGGGGGGAGTGTGACACGGAACATTCCAGGTCTCTTTCTTGGTCACATCACAGCAGCATCTGATCATACTTAGAGATAAGTTTCTGTGTTCCAGTGTTCTAAATATCAGCCACTTTTTTCCTCTGCTGCTCAGCTGGGGCAAACGAAGGAAAAACTGGCTTCTTGGGCTTTCTGAATAGTGATCCTGTCCAACTTCATGAGCGTTTTAAAGGATTTTCAAGGACAATTTTCACTTTGTGTGATTTTTTTTTTTTTTTCTTTTTTGCCTCACAGGAGGTCTTGGAACTGATCCCTGTGTAAAATGAGACTCCTTTGGACCACTAAACCCAACCACTCTGCCCTTAATCCTCTGCTTCCCAGGAGAACTTTTTGCCCTCCTGACTGAGAAAGCTCTGCAAGGAATTGGAACTAGAATTAGAAATGCCACTCAAGGAGGTGAGAAGGAGCATGTCAACGATGTCCTGTTGGTCACTGCCATTTAAAAGGCTCCTGGCTCCATGTCACCTTGCATTTGAATGATGCTGACAATGCCTGAGGAGGTGAGGTCCACTGATGAACCAGTGACCACAGGACAAGGTGCCACCCTAAACCCAGGGCAAGGATTCAAAACAAGTCACATCATTCCTATCCTGAAAATCATGTCCCACAAGAAATCCAGATGGTTGGGGCTGGAGAGATGGCTCAGCAGTTAAGAGCACTGGCTGCTTTTACACAGGACCTGGGTTCAGTTCTCAGCATCTACATTGCAGCCAACAACCATCTTTAACTCCAGTTCCAGGGGATCAGTGCCCTCTTCTGGCATCCAAGGGCATTGCATGTATGCCGTGCACTTGTGTATGTGCAAGCAAAGCACTCAAACACATACTATAAAAATGAACAAACAAATAAAAAAATTTAAAAATCCAGATGGTGTGGAACAGAAAAAAACCCCCACCAAGTCAGGTTGAAGAGATGAGATTTGTAAACTGACTCCATCACTTAACTGGCAGAGTGACTGGAGGCAGGATCTCTCTGGTCCTGGGTACCTCATCTGTGAGTAGGATAGGACCAAATTTCTTATCTGTCCACTGTTCAGCTGATTCTATTGAGGGTCTTGAACTCTTTTGTTTCTACTGAAACAATATATTGATCCTTTCCCCAGGAAAAAGGCACATGATGTGACCAGACTCAAGAATTTGTGCATAAGATTCAGGCAATTAACTGGGCATGGTAGCACATGCCTATAATTCGCTGAGGAGGCTAAGGCAGAAGGATCAAAAGATACTATAGTGAGACTCTGTCTCAGACAGACAGACAGACAACACACACACACACACACACACACTTCAGGCAATTGATTTAATGTCTAAATCTGTCACCTGATTGCCAAGTTTAAGGAGTATGGGTTTTGGGCATGCATGATGGCTCAGTGGTGCCAAACTTGACAATGTGAGTTCCATCCCTAGGACTGACAAGATAGAAGGAGACAGCCAACTTCTGAAAGTTGTCCTTTCCACTCAACTCTGAAAAAAAAAATCCTTAAATTTACAGACAAGGATCCCAAAGGATCCCCCAGTGACCACCCATCAAAGAAGCTTTTTGGTCTTTTTGAGACAGGGTCTCCCTGTAGCCCCATCTGTCCTGGAACTGTTTAGGCCATGGCCTTGAATTCTCAGAGATCCGCCTGCTTCTGCCTCCCGAGTGCTGGGATTAAAGGCGTGTGCCACCATGCCCAGCCGAGAGAAATATTTTTAATGCAATAAAGACTGTGCTTTTATTGCGAAACAAGTCAAAGAACAAGCATTGCAGAGGCTTAGCCGCCTAAGCAAGACTTCTTCATTCCATTCCTGGCTATCTTCACTCTACAAGAAGTTGCCTCTGCATCCTGTGCACCTTGCTCTATGTCGCCTCTGAGTCCAGCATGCCTCACCCGGTGTGCACTGTGAAGGGGATTGTGCAACCACTGGAGACTCATGTTTATTGTACTGCATTCCTGATATCAGGGACCCACACTTCCTGTCAGCACACTCAGAGACCAAGGCCATGACAATGGGCTGGTTCTCTTGGATGCTATGACTCCAGCCCAGACAGGGTATTTGTGGCCAGTTTTCTTTATAGCATACTTATCCACCTTAAAGGAAGGTACCTTTCTATAAACTCAGAAAGGGGCTTCTGATCACAGTCTTGAGGTTCATCCTGAAGTAGTTTCTGGGCACTGATCAGACTTTGAAAGTATAGTATAACGTGGCCTGAAGCTAAGGGAGACCCAGAGCAGGCACAGGCAGAGTCCAGGAGGTCTGCACAACCCTGATATAAGTTTCTATTTTGTCAACTGAGTGAGATCAGGGTTATGCCCCATGATTCTGACTTTGAAGTGGAGAGGGTTCAGTGCCTGGTGCCCACCTCACTTCTAACACACATTTACCAAATGCCCTTGAGCTCCAGGCACCAATTTCATAGGACCTGAAAACGCAACACATACTCAACTGGGCCAGGTACTATTCTAAATAGCAAACACAGAAAGACCCTTGGGCCCCTGAATCTGGTAAGGTCAAGACTGTGACCCCTGCTGACACCAGGGCCAGTATTATGTCAATGTCCCACAGCATCTGGCCATTCTAGATGTGAAATTTCAATGAGCCCTTCCTGAAATGTAGAGAAGAGCCGATGGTATTTTATCAACTATGGAAACCCCTCAAACACTGGAAAATATCCCCTTTCTCCCTCTCAATACTATGCTCTTGATCATCATTGGACATGATTGTTATGAGTGACTCTGAACATGCCTCGGTAGATTAGTGTTCCCTGGTGAGGCCTTTGGTAATTAGTCAGCCCCATTCACCATCCAGCAAAGAACTTGACTCTGACAAGGAGTTCAGAAACCTCTGGAAGAAGGGAGTGAAGAATTCTGATGGAAGAAATAATGAGTGTCAGTGGTGTGGTGTTCCACAAGATGTGCCCTCCAGCACCATCTTCATTTTTAAAATCCTGAGTGGTCCAGGAGACCAGGCTTTACATGGCAAAGTGAGACCTGTTTCCTTTCTTCCTCATGCCAAAGTGTAGAAGTTGGATTCTGCAGAATTTCTAGAAGTTTGGCTCATTTCCTTAAGGTTCCATGCAACAAGCTCTGAGCTCAGGTGTGGCTGGGTTAAGGGCACACTGGCCATGGGGCAGGAAAGCTACGGGCAGCACAGAGTGGTGGGCCACCTGCCTTGCTATATGTATGCCATGAGTAGAACCCACACTCACCAAGTGCCTGTGTCCTTGGCCAAGGCTGCTGGTGCCTGAGGGTATAGCCAAGGTAGGCTCAGTCAACAGCCTGCTAACAACCATCCTTCTGGTCCTGAGGAGAAACAAGGGTGATGAATAGCTAGGGCTACCCTGGTCTCTTCTCTAGCCATGCAGGAGAGAAGGATGAGCTGGGGGAAGACTGGGGATGGGAAAGCCTGCAGTGTTTAGATGTACTTAAAGTACTGTGCAAATCCTACCAAAAACATCTTGGGGTTTGGAGAGTGGTTAAGAGCATTGGCTGTTCTTGCAGAGGACCCAGGTTTGGTTCCCAGCACCTACATGGTAGCTAACAGCTGTCCTTAACTCCAGTTCCAGGGGATCTGAAGCCCTCTTCTGTCCCCTGTGGACATTACACTTATATACATGCAGGCAAAACACTTGTAGTAAATGAAAATAAAAACAACAGCAAAGCAAAACATCTCAGACAGTGCTCTTGCTTCCTTCCATTGGCTTTGGTCTATCTCTCAACACTGGATATAGGAGTAGTCTGTCCTTTTGCAAGAATTCTCGCTCTCTTTTTTTCTTTCTCCACCCCCCTTCTCTCTCAGACATGGTCTCATGTAGCCAGGCAGGCTTTGAACTTCAGATCCTCCTGCCTTCACCTCCCAATTATTGGGATTACAAGCATGTACCACCAGGTCCCCCCCTCTCCTCCCCGTCTATCCTTTACCATGAGTCACAAACACACAAACAGAAACTCTCCTCCTGGAAGCCCCTGAATCCTGCAACAAAGAGTTAATCTCCCCCTAGTGGTACCCTACCAGACCCTTGGAACCAGCGTCAGCCTTCTGTGCCGCTGCCCTGTGTGTAGCCTCAGGACTGTCACTCACTTATGCTCTCTCGCTCACTCCTGTACACAAAGACTCCCTTGTTTCTGGCCCAGCTGAAGTCACATGCTTTCACTCTTAACCCAGAGCTTTAAAACTAAACACCCACCCTCCCTGGCCCCAGATGACCCTGTTTACGTCTGTGGAGCCAATTCCAAACAGCAACAGTAGTGAAAACTTCAGTCGGGAGAGATTTCTTGACTATTGGTGTAGAGAGAACAACTCTTCACTTTGTATAACGGGAGGACTTTAAGAAGTTTTGGGAAATGGCTTAGAGGAGAAAAAAAATACAAGGAAGCCAGCAACTGGTCTCAACTTCTCTATTTTCTAAAGTACCTCTTACCAGAGACCCCAGGGGCTAAGATAAAGCTTGTAAAAAACAAAGTGGTGACCAGAGTTTTAAGGGCTAAGAGGCAGAACATTTTGGATGTTTCTAGTGAGATCCTATTTTCTTCAACGCTGGAAGAAAGTTATATGTTCCTTCTTTCTTTCTAAAGAAAAAAAAGTTGTGTGTGTGTGTATTTAATGAGTGATATCCTTTGTTCCATGTTGCTGACAGTAGGAAAGAGATTTTCTTCCTTAGTATAGGGAAGTGACCTATGGAACTGTGGAGGCTTCTAGAAAGATCTGGGCTCAGATCTGGTTGAAAAGGACCTGCTTTTTCTGATTGTACCCTAAAGATTTCTTTTCTTTCTTTCTTTCTTTTTTTTTGGTCTTTTTGAAACAGAGTCTCCCTGTAGCCCCAGCTGTCCTGGATTCACCATGGAGACCAGGCTGGCCTCGAACTCACAGAGATCTGCCTGCCTCTGCCTCCCGAGTGCTGGGATTAAAGGTGTGTGCTACCACGCCCGGCCTTAAAGATTTCTTTCTTTCACTTCATGAGTAATAACCCATGCTCACCATGAAGGAAGTCAGGTTTCCTTTGATTGTTCTTACCCTGATCAAAATGGTAGACGTTGAAGGGAAAATACCAGAACCCAGAAGTGCTACTAACATTGGTATCTCCACATGAGGTACTATTCATGAGCAACACACATGGCCAATGATCAGATGCCTGCTGATCTCATGTTCATCCTTGAAAGAGCAGTGGAACTGCAAAGATGGTACCAAGAAGCAGTTCCACGTCCCAGAGGCCAGCAAAGTTCTTTAGGGAGGGAATGGAGGTGAGTTTCCTTTCTAGTGTTGATGCCAAGAAGCTGGAAGCTAGCTACCTGGCTTGGGAAGGAGTCTGATGCTGCACCTGGGCTTAGCAGAGAGAGCTGAGGCCAATGAGAAACATGTCCTGGGCATGGAGGAAGGCACAGTAGCAATATTTGCTATTGTTGGTCTAGTACAACTCAGAAAGTTGCTTTAGCACCTACCTGTATGCAAGCAGCAGAAAGCAGGCAGTTCCAGAAAGGAAATTGTAGACAGGATGGTAGAGGCAGAGGTGCCCACTGAACACTGTAGTCCTGAACGGGGTGACCCAAGAAATTAAAGCAGACATGAAGTTGTCACCTTTGTGCTGAGGCAGAAAACAGCCATAGGCCATTCTGTACTCTCTAGTCCCTCA